ACAATACATTGTCATTTGTCATGCGTTGATTATGCAAAATAATTTAGTGATCTGTAGCCCAGTCAATTTGCACAGGCATCTACATTGTTGAGTCATCCATCACGTGCATCCCAAATTGACTAGCTTTTCTAGCTGTGTCATCAAAAAGAACTGGAGAGGGGGACCTGTGTGGGAGGTTGCCTTACAATGGCTCATGTTGGGAGGATTGTTTCTGGGATTTAAAGGACTTCCATATATTGGGCAAATAATTCAGTATATTTCACAAACATTGAATTCACTTAAAATGTATACACAGTGTTGGTATCAGGAAAAAACAATACTTTAAAATTATCAGGTAATATAACTGACATGGAAAATAACATTCCTTAATTTGTCCAGGGGCAAAATAGTACCCATGAAAGTGACATTTCACCAAGATGGGCTGAAGTATTTTACTGAAGGTGAAGGCTGTTAACAATTATTTCAACACTCTTTAAGACAAAGTTGTTCATGCCAGCATGTGGGTGAAGTAAATAGCTTAATAGCCACCATGCTAACAGGGTGAGGCCCTGAGACAGATTTCTGTGATGCTTCCTTTATCTCAGGGCCATTCTGCTAGCTGCTGATTATCAAGGTTGCTCAGCACTTCACAGGATTCAAGGTTTTAACTTTTGACCCAGCTGAAAAGTTAAGGAGATTAACTGTTAGGAAATAAACTGATTGTGGCTGAAGTTCCCTTAAAAGGGCTGCAGTACAGCTGGCTTCCCTCATTGCTGATGCGCATCTTCTACCTGTTTTGTTTCAAACAAAAAATAGCAGCAGCAAAGGTTTGACTTTGAGACCAGGTGCAAGGTTGAGGCAACATTCCAAAAAGACCAGATTGCCCCGATTGCCAGATTGTTTCTTGAATTTCTGCAGAGGCTACAACAGAGGTTGTGACAAGAACAGGGGCAGGGAGGGGAATCGGTGGTGAATAATGTGGAAAAACAAAACCTGCCTTAGCTTTAATTAACTTAGAATCTCTTCACATCTTGGTTTGAATGTACATAAAAATGTGTGTCAAGAAACTCTCATTCTTGCACTGCTCTGCCTTGTCCCTGGTTCACAGCAGGGCATAGCAAGAAGGTAGTGGCTCAAGCAGGGATGCTTTTGCACACGCATGGAAGCCTAGGCGTGAATTCTGTTTTGCCCATTCACTGTCTAACTACAGCTGTCAGCAGCCCTGGCTTACAGACATGGGGCCTGGAAGACACTCTGTTTGGTATGTGTGGACATGTGGTCTTCCCAAACTTTCAGTGAGGAACTTGTATGCAGCTCACATGTCCCCAGAGGTGAGCTCTACCTCACCCGGCAGTTGTGCACAGCTCTCCCATACACTTTGATTAATTCCAGTGATGGCTTCTCAGACTGCTGTCTGAGCAGGACATCTAGCTGGAGCAGACAGACATCTCTGCAGAAACCCATATCCCCTATGTATGCAGAAAACCAGCATAAGGATCCTCCTCCTTTTCCTCTACAAAAATGCTAGTGGTGAGAGCGCTATCCCAAAATGTAGGAGACATAGGCTCTCCCTATCTCCAGTATACCAGCAGGGCATGGTATATACCTAGTGGTCATAGAGGAATGGCTCAAAGCACCTTACATTTCCTTCCTATTGAAGCTGGCCCACTGGCCAGCCAACAGAGAGTCATGGGGCCCCAAGAATAAGGCTATTGAGCAGAAGAAAGGTGGCAGTACTGCCAGGACAGTCAGTTGATTGTCAAACAGTCACTACTCACAGGGCGCATCTACATGAGACACTACTGTGTAGTGGTTACTGCGTAGTAACATCAGTGAATGTCTTTTAAGTGATGCTACTGCGCACTAGCCTAATACCATGCAGTAGCATATTTGCATTGTCCATGCTGTGACATGCTACTGCGCAGTATTATTAGGCTACTGTGCAGTCAGTGTCTCATGTAAATGTTCCTACAGGGTGTAACTACATGTTATTAGCACGGAGCAATAAACTCTTGTGAATATTAGAGTTTATTGCTTCTGGGCATAGCATTTGAACATACACCCAGGACCACAGTGCATTGAGCTGGGCCGGAAGAGCCCCGGCTGGCAGAGGGTCCAGGGGGTCAGCCTGCCAGCCTGGGGCTGCTCTGGCCAGGCTCAACATGAGACAGAGGGGCTGGCGGGCTGGCAGGCTGCCCCCACACTGAAGCACCCTCATGCCCCAGGCAGCCCCATCAGCATCTACATGTGCATTGTGCACTAAAAGAACTACCAACATAGGATAGTATTTGTATTTACAAGAACTAACCTGCAGTGGATTGAATGAGTTCCCTGTGGCTTAATAGGGCCACACATGTAGACATTGAGACTTTACTATAGCGCTAATTAGGCAGCTTCACAGTAAATGTCTCATGTAGACGCACACAGTGAGTGCCACTGTCTACTATTTCAGGGGTTAGTGCAGCATTTCAAATAGTTCTTAGTGAGGTTAAATCACAATGGAACATAAATGGAGAAGAATGTCTCTGCTGCCATACTTCCCTTCTTCCAGGCATGTGCAATAGGGCAGATGTAGTCATGAAGGTACAGAATGTAGTAGCGTAAGGAATATAATCATCTTTGCACAATTCAGGCCATTGTTCAAAGTGAAGTAGAAAGTTATTGTAGATACTTAAAACTACATGCGACTTTTACGAGGCTTAGCCTTGCAATAGAATTCTGCCCTGACTGTAGGAACCTTGTGATTTTTGCAGGCCTAAAGGTAGATGCTGGTTGAATATAGGCACATAGGAGGCTTCTGAGCTGATGTCTTCTGGCTCACTTCTTTTGGAGTTAGAAGCCCCTTAAATATATATTTGGTGCCCAACATATTCCTCTGCATCTTACTCCAGTTTCATGAACCAGTTAGATTATCTGTTAATATACATAACTTAGGCAGGTGCAAAAACCTGTTGGATTGTTGCTGCCAAGAACCGACAGACAAGAGAGTGAGAAATGGGCTATAGCAGTGTTTCTGTTAGGGCTTGTATCCAAATCAAAAAAGGCTGAGGGTAAGATGGTCATCATGATGTTTCCTCCTTTCAATCCCATAACAGTAGTTGTCTACATTCCAGAATACTACTTTTCCAATTAAGTCTTTTCAAATCACAATGAATATGTTATAAAATGAGAACTGGAGGATGGAGGTGTGACCTGGCTAGAACAAAGTGTAATACTTGATTAGAAGATAACAAAATAACTGTGGCCTCATTTACTACTGACATGCTAGTAATTGAAATGGATTTTCTGGTTTGGCCTTGCAATTGTAGTGGAGTTCACCTACATTTCAGCAG